TAGTAGTAGTAGTAGTAGCAGTAGTAGCAGTAGTAGCAGTAGTAGAAGTAGTAGCAGCAGCAGCAGCAGGAGTAGTAGTAGTAGTAGTAGTAGTAGTAGATTCAGGAGCAGTACCTAGTGGGACGTGGAGCTGGAGGTGGCGGAGGAGGAGTAGAACCACCAAGGCTTGTAGTTGTCTTTGCCGTTGTGGCAAAAGGCATTTCTTCCTCGTAGCTTCAGTTAGTGCTACCGTTGCCAGCTGCTGATGTCGTCGTTCTTAGTTGCAGCAGTGGCTGTAGCTCAAGCCGCCACCGTTGCTGCTGCTGCTGCTGCTGCTTTTGTTGGTGGTATTTACTGCTACCGTTGTAGTTGCAACTGTGCTTCTGTGACGGCCGTCGCTGGTGTCATTTGCTTGTTTGTTGCCGCAGCTGCTCCTGATGCTGGTATTGATGATGATGTTGTTGCTGCGTCGGCTGCGTTGAAAAGATCCAGTCTCGTTAAATTTACATTGCTGTTGTGCGATTGTGCTTGGTGCCCTCACCTGCTACTAGGAGCTTCTTGCGAAGCCGTAACAAAACTACTGTTGCGACCACGACTACGGAGACAGGGCACGACTACACAGACAAACTAGAGTACGGAACATGATTATTAAAACGTGCTGTGAAGGCAAAAGCAAGGCACTGCCAGGTACAAGAACGTTGCTGTTAAGACTATGGTCAATGATCTGTCTTACATAACGGTGCTACCGTTGGCATTGCACACCGTTCACTGTGTAAGTCCACAAGCGATGGGGATAACGATGCTGAATCGTCATGCTAGTTCGAGCGATGCTAGAACACAACAGTGGGCATAAAGTGAAACACTTTCACACGGCAAGTCGGAAAATGGAAATGGAAAGCAGCGGCCGACCAATGCCAAATTGTCGGGGCTGTAGTTCTTGTTGTTTGAGCGAAGGCAAGGCTTTGTGAAGTCAAGCAGCTACCGAATCTGGTAGTGCTGCGAGTGGAGCGTCTTCTGGCACCTCAGGCTGCATGTCTTCCCCAAGACACGGTCTCATTGCTGCATCTGGGCACTGGACCTAAACTTATGCCCTAATTTACCCCAAAACTTCAGCGGTAACAACGGCAAAAGGCCAAGGCCAACCCTCGCAGCCCGAGGTCTGAATTCTCACATCTACGCCGGCCACGCCAGCTTAAACCACGTCTGGCCGAAGCAGTAAGAGGCTTAAGGCTTATAAGGCCTGGACTTAAGAGCGGCAGAAACAGCTACGAAGCGAGGTAATCCGGACATCTAGAGTGCAGTCCATGATTGATCAATTGGTCGCTTGGCTTTTCAGGTAAAACTCAGTTCTCCTTCTCGCCTTTTGCCTTCAGATTATATATTTTCCTAAACCCATCAACCCCCTTCAAGCTCCGAACTTTACACCCTACCCCCCAAAAACCCGAAGCCCGGGTGCTAAACGGGCAAGCCTCGACTCGCGTTTTCTTCCGGCTCGTTGCTCTCGTTGGTCTCATTGTTGTCTTCCTCCGTGGGTCTTTCAAGGGTTTCGAGCTTTTCCAGGGTGCGGGGTTCGGGCGGCCTTTGCATCTCCAGTTTGTTGACAAGAAACTTTATAGGTGCTGGAAGCTCAGAGGCGTACGGGACCGTGGCGTGGACTTACATGGGCAGCTACTCCCTCCCAGCAGTTCGAGCGGTGATGCGATCAATGCGATCGGATGCTGGTCCGGGCACCGAGAGAAGCAACAGCAAAAGGCATTATAATATCGTGATGGAACCGTCGTTGCACAAGCAAGTCATCATGTTCAAGATATAACCTGCTATGCCCTGGAAAGAGCCGTCACAAACCTTCAGCGAAGGTGCAGAGAATATGTCCAGGTCCACTTCCAGTTGCCTCGTCTTTGCAGCAAGCGCGCGTACCTTTGATGAAACAAACGGCTTTGGTTGAGCAGACAAAGCCTGTTCCCTCTCAAACGGAATGATACCGCACGAAGGTCGTTTGCTGGTGGGTTTCGCACGCATTCCAGCAGCTACTAGCAGCGACGAAGTTGGCAGGCTCCACTTGTATAGAACCAAGGAAACGACCATTGCAATCTGATGCACATGGAGCACCTGGCTTGAAACGTACCAACCAACAGCCCGAGCTTCGACATAAACGATGGCCCTCATGCAAGGAAATAACTTTACAATCCTGTTGACACTGTAATTCGTGTATAGCACTGCTTTGAAGTTCGCAGCTCCAGCTTGATTTGTTCCTTTGCTCCCTCATCATGAACAGAGTTAATGACCATGCATTTATGCCAGTTTATGCCACTTTGAAGTGCACATGAACATTTTCACCGTACTCTTGTTCCTTTGCAAATCTTCGGATTCTGCTTTGAAAACACTTTCCCTCCGAAGGCACTCTGGACTCCACCAGCGCTTTGCTCCGTATCGGAACATTGGCCTGATGGCAGAGGGTGTGCAGACTATCATGGAGCTCATATTTGGTTCTGACGTAGGGATTAATGGCATATTTCGGATAGCAATGGTAGTGATGGGCAGGCGGGATCGGAGTCCCAGCTGACAAGCTCGAAGCGGGCTCCGCCAAACATCTTCTGGGCCTGCACTCAATGCATCGCTTGAGCCGTGAGATTCCGTACTGGTGGACGGTGGAGCTATTCTGCGCGGCTACGAGGTTCCGAAAATCCCGAGACGAGGGGCCCTCGATGAGGTCATGTTCGGGGATACACTTTCTGACAGAAACCAGCACCGTGAAGGTCATGACGTCTCACTCCACTTGGGGCTCAAGCATTGTCGTTGCCGTTGTTGGCAAGCGGAGTGTTTTCGTAGGTCATCGCATCGGGTGTCGCCTCGAGGCATGGAACAACTCAAGAATTCGGCTTGGCGCTTTGGGGTTGTGGCTTCCGAGGGGTTGCGCTTCGCCAGGCAAATCGGAGACACTGACACTTTTTCGTCGACAGAGTCGCAATCGAGTTTCTGTGGACCCATTTTCCACTTCCTTCTCAGTCCTTCTTCAGAACCTGCGAGTAATCACTGCAATCCAAAAACTGCCTAGCAAGCACCGCGAAGGCAAACATACCGACAGAAACGGCGATGTAGGATGGATCCTGTGGGAGCTTCGTGGTGTAGGCCTGCGCGGCCAAGCAGCTCAGCGATACAATAACACCTGGCTTCTGAGGGCTCAGAAGAGCTGTGGCGGCTGCACCGCCCATAGATGCCGCCATGAATGGGAAGCCGAGCATTTCGTCATAGAGGAAGAGCAGTGCCGAGCCGGTCATCCAGAGCCCTGCACAAGCCATGAACCAGGGTTGCAGGCACATGTCGGCGCAGGCCGAGGGCATAAGGATGCCTTGCAGGAAGTGAAATACTCCGGCAACTAGAGTGAGCATTGCGACCCCTGCGCTGACGCGCTGCTCTGCGGTACCAGACAACGCAATCACGGAAGTTTTCTCCCAGACAGACCCAGCAATTCCGACAGCAAGCTCCATGGACTCGGCAGTGCTCGGCAGCTGTGATCACGCGCGGGGCTGCTGCGGCAAATGGCTTGATGTGCTAATCTGGACGATGACTAGCACTAGCAATGGCAGAGTGTTCCGAAGCAACAGGGTGAATCCACTGAGTGGGAAAGTGAGTGGGAAAGTTATTTGAGCCTGACTCTGAGAGATACATTGGATAAGCAAAAGAGCCCCTGGCTCTCACCGCTTGCAACCTGAGTTTCTAAGCGCCATCTTGGAAAAGCCTCTTGTGACCTCGAACGAAATCCCCAAAGGCCCCCATAACGACGCAACAACAACTCAAAAACCCTAAACCCTTGACAGGAAAGCAATAAAAAAACATAAACCCTAAACCCTAAACCCTGAACCCTAAACCCCTAAACCCTAAACCCTAAACCAACAAAACCCACATCTCGCTGAGGAGAGGACCACGAGGCCCCGCACGGCCCTGTCCAGCCGCCTGAAGAGCTCCTCATCCCGTCTTGCGAGCATGGCCTCGAACCTGGGCAGTTTTTTGGGCTTGACCCGAACCCTCCAGGTACCTACAAAAGGGGCCCTAGGGGCTCTAGTACCCTATATAGTAGGTACCTGCGGGGTTCGGGTTTAGGGTTTAATGGGATTTAAAGGCTTAGGATCCAGTTTAGGGTTTAGGGTTTAGTGTTTCCGGGTTTGCGATTTAGTTTTCTGATTTAGGGCTTGGTTCAGTGTCGTTCAGGGCTGAGGTCTGGAGGTCAGCTTAAGCTTTAGGGCTCAGGGGTCCGAAAAGAGCGCATATTCGGGACTTAAGCTCTATCTCTCTCCTATCTCTCTCTCCCTCTCTCTCCCTCTCTCTCTCTCTCTATATATATATATATGTGTATGGCCTGTGGTGTTTATGGAAAAAGATTTCTCGGGTTTTAAGGGTTTAGGTTTTTTTCACTCAGGCTTTCAGGATTTAGGGTTCATAGGGCATCCAGAGTTTCGGTTTAGGTTCTACGAGGTTGTAAGTAAGTTCTCAGGCTTTATGGACCGGCTTGGAGTGCAGGGTTTATAGAGTGTTAGGGTTAGGGCTCATAGGCATTATGCAGACTTTGGATGTTTTTGGGGTTTCTGGTTTTGGGCTTGTAGGCTATATAGGGCTCATAGGGTTGATTATTTATGGAATTACGACGCATGCAGACCGAAAAGGCTGATTCTACGAGCCCACTATACAGCCACACAGCGCTGCATATTCAGAAGGGTTTTGGGTTTGTCTGGCTGTTGGGCGTATACAAGGCTGCTGTTCGGCTATTAGGGCTTCTATACGGCTTCCCGCAGGGAAGCACTGAACCCTTTGCTGTGTCACCCTCAGAGCCCTGGGCCCAGGCCTTTGGATCAGCTGCACCTCCACTTCCGCGGGAGCTGCAAAATCTGTAAGGATGTCCACATTGGCGAAAGCCGCAGCATCTTTAGCACAGTCCTCTTCGTTTGCCTGCGCAGGGAACGTCGAGTTGAGTCTGGCTGCATATGCAGAGACATTCCTGCGAGTCCTGAAGTGAATATGCTCTTTTTGCGTGCTGTGGAAAAAACAGTACAAGAATAGCATAGCAGCGAGGTGCTCTGTGGGCAAACAGGAAATTCGTCAACGCCCAGGGACGTCACACTCGGAAACAACACCCTTGAACTTGCCGTTCTTACTTGCATGCCAGACAAGGACGACAGTTCCGCAAACACAAATGGACTGCAAGCCCAACGAGCAATATTGCAAGTCTACACCCCCACGAAGCCCTAAACAAACCCTCAGAAACGCAAGCACCTTATGATTGTGAGTCCCCCTCACGGGCGGGGCCTGCGGAATTTTAAGGCCTCTTGGCACCGGCATGGCGAAAGATGGGTGCGCGACGCACGGGTGTCCCGACGCACTGCGGTTTGCCAGTGATGACTGTCTCGTGAAGGCTCCTCTATCTAGTCGTCTTTGTAGATATATGGAATAGTGCTGCTAGTTCTGCCTCTTCGTGTTGACGGAGTTAGGTCAAGGTAGACGCTTACACAAGGCGCTCCTACGAGTTCTTGACGTCTTATGTCAGGCACCGTCCACAGTTGACATGCCAGTCCAATTCATCAAAAGTTTCTGCTGACACCAAAGACCCTAATCTTGCTCATTGTCTGGAGTGTGCTTTTCTTAAGAATGAGGTTGCCATGTGATGCAGAAGCTCTGACTGCCCTGTAACTGTCCCGTGTGCTTCTGAATCAATTCAAACAAGTATATACGGCCCGTCACGAGCCTGCAGAGGAACGCAACGGACACACGTGCATGAATGATAAGAGAACTCACCGATTCACAACCGTGGACTGCCGAAACCTACCGAGCAGTCCCAAAGACCCTGATGGGCCTCAACTCATTAGTTAGCAAGGCCCGGAAACAAATGCAAGCGCACCAATGCACCTGTACATTTGCAGGATTTAACGGATTTGGGTCTGACAAGAATGACGCCATGTAAGCGGCTTCATCGAGCGAGTTGGGCACTAGTTTTCCAAGTCTGCTTTGTCCTGTTTGATGTCAGTGGATGTTAGATGTGGGCGCAATCCGGTGCCAACAGCCTCGCACAGAGAAATACAAATATGCATGTTTGAGTGTACACGTGTGCATGCATGTAACTCTATGTCACATGTCTATGATTTGTGTTTATTGGTTTGGCTATGTGTACAATTGGTGCGGTCAGGCCTGATGGGACTTCGCTTTGAATGTCGGCTGCGGGTCGAAACATTCCTTTTGTGAGGACATTCGAACCAGATCCGGGTGAGGCTGCAACAAGTTAGAGCTATCCAAAACGGCCTCGGATATTTCTGCGAACCTTGCGCACTCACCCTGAACCCTTCCCATAATCGCCAAATTCTGAAGCATCTGTCTGCGAGTAAAGGGGCCCTGGTGCATACAGGCCTCTCCAGAGCCCGCCTCTTGCTGCGGCCAGGCCTGCCCCCCAAAAAAAAACCCAAATCCAACAACAGGGACCCACTCTCGTCATCGCAATCAGCTTATCCAGGCACGTCTTTGAGGGAAAGCAGACTTCGGAGCCGCAAAGATGGCCAAACACAGGCTTCCGAGCTGCAGCTTCGGTCCGTTTTGACGAGTGATTTACAATCTGCACTAGAAAATCCTAGGGGCCTCAAACTTGGGGGGGGGGGGGGCATTGAAGTTGCAACGATTGGTTGCAGCACCGGAGAATCGTTGCTTGCATGACAAGATACGCGCCCAGTGCTCGGCAACCTGTGCCTGCCCTTACAGGATCATACTTCGTAACTAGGGTTATATAAACCAGGTAACTATATACTTATACAATTAATGTTATAGCCCAGTCTTGCTTACTAAGTCCGGTGATCCTCCAAGTGCACCCGCCAGAACTTCAAAAAACGCAGAGATTAGAGGGAGGTGCAGGTTTTACTTTCGTTGGGCCAAGCCTCATCACGGTTTGAGGTGTCTGCTTTGAGTTCGGGATTAGGGCTTCTTTTAAGAGTTTGTTTGGGTTTGCGATTTCGATTTCACATTACCAAACCCACCTCTGCGCGCCTGAAGCCTTTCAGTACCAAGAACCCGAAAACTCCTATCATGCTTACACGATCTGTCGACACAAAAATGGTATGATCGAGATTGATAGCTTCGTCAAATGTCTCTACATGTCGGGTTTGATAAGGGCCTTGGCCTTTGCGGCTTAGGCTGCCCAAAGAATCTCCAAGCTGGGCCTGTGAGCTGCCCGCTGAGGCACCTGGCAGCAAGGAAAGTCATGCCATCATCCCTCGTTTTCATGACCATCCTCACCCATGTCACTGTCACCCAGAACGTGTTCATCCTCATCGCTCGACCTGACCTGACATTCTGAAACATTCAGGCAACTCCGGGCTTCAACGATGAGCTGAACTGATTCTTGCAGGGGCTTCAGGTTTAGGGCCTTAGGGCTTCCGACTTCGGCAACTGTGAACATTGAGTCAAGCGGAGCTGTTGCGATGGCGCCTTGCCCACTGAGGCTACCGGGAGGCAGTTTCCGCCTGGGCCGTGCTCTTTGGTTCAGACTTTTAAAAACCCCTGATGATCGACCCGCCTGAAACTAGTCTTAAGCTACCAGGGGAATCAGCCATCTCTAGTGACCGAGCTGGAAAACCATGGGGCCCTAAAGGGAGCTCTATTAGATTCCAACTGAACTCCATGGCCCTGTACGCCCCCCAATTCCTCACCCAAATCCTAGATAATAGCTGCGCCTACCTGCTATCTGACATGTTCCTACTCTTATTATCCTACTATATACCAGTACATATAGGAAGGTCATGCAGCAGGCTAACACAGTGGCTCGTTGCCGCAAAGCAGCTTGATCTCCTCGACGGATGGCAGGGTCGCAGCCTGATCAAGTGCCAAGAAAAGTAAGTCCCGGCAGGAAAAACAAGAATAATGAGAACAGCAATAAACATACGACATATATTCCATGCTGCTAATCATTCCTTCTGTTCGGACATACAGCTGGAACTGAGTTTCGCCGCAACAATGATACTGATGGCTTCCGGCTGACGACTATGGCAGTGGCCCTTTCCCCTAGGGGCCTAAACCGCTTCTATCTCCAAGCCGCCATGATCATCAGTCGGGCAGTCGGACGTCTGAGGACGTGGCTTCCCAATTGCGCTGCCACAGCTCTCCCTGCCCAGGGCTAGATACAGCTGAGGCCTCTACAGAAGCTTAATTGGCACCAGGAACCTGGAACATCGTTATTCCCCCGCGCCCCATCCCTAGTCATCCTCAACTCCATCCTGGAGACTACCATCTCTGCAGAAGGTGTTCAGGTCACAAAGCCTCTTCGCACTCCCAGATGAGGGCGGGCTGCTCTTCACATGTCAAGCCCTGAAGAGACATGCCGGATGGCACCGTCTTGTTCCAGTGCTGCACCCAGTATCGCAGGTATGCCTTAGCATGCAGAGTCAGGAGGCAATGCTGCACCTGGAGAGATAATGGCTAGTCGCCAAAGCCGCGATCCATGCCACGGCGTGGACATGGAGCAATCTTGACAGCTTTCTAGCTACATAGCTGGACAGACAGACAGACAGACAGACAGACAGACAGACAGACAGACAGACAGACAGACAGACAGACAGACCGATAGATAAATGAATAGGCAGGCAGATGGCAGATAGGTAGACAGCTAGACACATAAATAGATCAATAGTTCGGTAGATCGCTGGATCACTAGCTAGCTAGCTAGCTAGCTGGCTGGCTGGCTAGCTAGCTAGCTAGCTAGCTAGCTAGGTAGATAGCTACATAGTTAGATAGATAGGTATGCATAGAATGCGATTTGGAGCAAAGGAGGAGGCTGTCCAACACGAGCCTAACAGATTGCGGGCCCATCTGCTCGAAAGGATGAGGCCTGTCTGCCTCTGTCCCGTGACTCTGTCGGTCTATGTCTAGATTCAACAGTTCCTGTCTCTTTCTCGGCACACTGGGCCGAGGGCATGGGTCTCCTTTTGCAAATTGGTGTCCGAGTTGCCTGGCATGCCCGGTCCCAAAGATCGGTTAGGAACTGTGATCATCGTTGAGAATATGCAACCCCGCGCGTGAGCAACGGTCATCATGTCAATGCATGTGACACGCAGGTCATGGTCAACTGCCTCATTCTGCAGCTCTCTTCCTCACTGCTCAGGCGGATAGGAATGCTCCATGGTGTCAGTTTTGCTCTGGTTGCAACCTCCCACCAGAACCCAAAACCCCAAGGGCCCCCCCGGCCAACAACACCCCTAAACCCTAAACCCTAAACCCCCTCGTCCCCGGTGCCTTGCTGGGCAAAGAGCCGCTGTAGCCAGGACTGCAGCGCCGGAGGGAACTTGGGGCCCCCGGCGCCGCCTAAGGCGGGATTCTCGTTAGCTTCAGGGCCTCAGGGCTGGGATGCGCTGCTTACGGAATTTACGGAGCTGGTTTGGGCTATTCTCATAGGTTTTGGTGGACATGGCTCGGGGCTAGGAGATAGGCGGGTGTTTGGCCTTGAAGGCTTTTCGTTCCTTGGTTTTGAAGGCGACGGTAGTTGCAGATTTGGAGTCTTGGTGCGCTGCAGTTGCAGGCAAGTTGCAGGTATGATTGCTCGGCTGACAGTTGGAGGGTCTCCAATTTCAGGTGCGAAATTCCTACGAATTTGAGTTAAGGCCATAAACGACGTGCGCACAGACTCAGACTGTGACTCTCAGCACTTTTCTTACAAAGGCAGGCCCCATAGATCGCGCGCAAAGCCAGAAAGGCTGCAATATTGAACATGTTTCCGGTGTTTCTACCTCTCTCCGGACTTCGCATCCTGAAAGGGAAAGTTGGCAAGAGTCTCGGATATCACTGCTTCACGATTGCTCCTGCTTGCGTTAAAGCCGTTAAGACAGCAGCAGTTCGAGCAATTCATCCGTGGGAACTAGAAAGGCCTACGAACAAACACAACATACCAATTACTGCCCAGTCTGCCTTGATGTACCGTGTATACCCGTTACTGTAGAGACGTACTGCAAGACCTGAACGCATAAACGCACCTCAAAGTGTTCAGAAGCCCGGATGGGTTCTTCGCCTAGACCGCCAGCTCCCATTCCAGGAGCCGTTGAAGGCCGTATTGCAGCCTAGGCAGGCTGTCGGGTGTCTTGTCACAGAGTTTGGGGATTTGTTGGATTCTCTTCAATACCTAGGTGGCTTGGATGTGTGCGAAATCTTAGTATCTTCCAGATTGCCACTTTACGATTAATCCTTGTCAACACCACACAAGCCTCGAACATGTTAGGTATACGAGTACCACTAACATATCTGGCTGTCTTTAGGCCTTGTAGGTATATTTATGGGTCGAACGAAAGACTGATAGAGATATAAATAGATAGATGGATAGATCGATAGATAGATAGATAGATAGATAGATAGACAGACCAATAGATCGGTAGACCAAAGATCGATCGATAGATAGACAGCTATAGGAAAAGATAGAAATAGAAAGAGAGATAGATAGATAGATAGATAGATAGATAGATACATAGATAGATAGATAGATACATGCATAGATAGGTAGACAGATAGATAGACGTAGATAGATCGATAGATAGACAGATAGATAGGTAGACAGATAGACAAGTACGTATACATAGACAGATAGATAGATAGATAGATAGATAGATAGATAAGTAGACAGATAGATAGATAGATAGATAGATAGATAGATAGATAGATAGATAGATAGATAGATAGATAGATAGCTAGATAGATAGATAAGTAGATAGGTAGATAGGTAGATAGGTAGATAAATAGATAGACAGG